TTTACTTGGTTATTACGATATAAAATTGAATCCAAAGACCAATTTAGTTTTTTTTAATTGAATCGTAAATGAAGTTTGACAAAAAAAAAAATTGTAAATGAATTTATATTATTAAAATTAGAATTAGTGTTAACAAACGGAAAATATATTATTTCATACAAAAACAAATTGGAATATAAATTAAACATCATTAGCAATTTTTAACAAGAAAATAATATTATTCTAATTTATTTAATTTTTAAAAAATATTTAACCGCTTATAACGCGGAGAATCACCTAGTAATCTTAATATATTGAAAGTGATTAGGAAAAAATGATTAGGAAAGTAGGCTAGAGAAAAGTAACATAATGAAAGCAGTAGTGAGCCATGAATAGTGATATTCTATTTTTTCCCTTATTCACTCCGTATTTTCTTCGTTCTTCCCCTTGTTCGCTACGTATTTCTTTCTTTGAGAAAGCTTCATCGTTTCTAATAGTACGACAAGGTTTGTTTATGGCTGTTCCCACAATTATAGTAGTCTACTTATTCAAAATTCTTTTTTTTTTTAGATCCTCTACCGACAAGCGAAGACATTAGACCACCTCTATCAAGGAGTTCTAAAGTATTAGAGGAGTTCTCAAAATAATAGTTAAATATTAGAAGGGTTTTCAAAAGAAGAAAGAGTGTGTCTAAAGTATCTCATTTGAAAACTTTTATCTTCTAATGGAAATCATGTTGTTATGCAACCGGGTGAAAACGGGAATGCGTTTGAGCTTCCACTCCACATGGAACATGGTGTCCATCCTCTGATACAAGCGAATGGTAACCATCTTAGTCTTAATGGAGGTCTTGCAATTCAATAAGTACATGGTCAAGATGGTGGTTTTGCTAATGGAAATCATGTTGTTATGCAACCGGGTCAAAACGGGAATGCGCTTGAGCTTCCACTCCACATCGAACATGGTGTCCTTGCTCTTATACAAGCGAATGGTAATCTTGGTCTTAATGGAGGTCTTGCAATTCAACAAGTACATGTTCAAGATGGTGGTTTTGATGATGTCTTTGCGAATATGGACTGGATGAATGTAGACCTTATGGACAATAATCCTCAAAAAAAAGAGAATGGAAATCATATTTTGCAACCGGTACAACAAGTCCCAGATGGTGGGTTTTGGAACAAGGGTGTAGATTTTGATTGGCTGAATATATTCCACATGGTTGGGAATGATGATCAACAAGAAGCTGTTGTTGGTATACAAGAGAATGGAGGATGGGGTAATGTAGCAGAACCAGATGAAGAGATAGGAGAACCATTACTTGAACTGATTCAGAAGCACAAGAAGATCTAGAACCATATTGGGATGATGATGTAAATGCAGAGGAGCAGTTTAACATTTTCAATATGAATCCTCCGGATGACTTTTTTGTTGGGTAGATGAGTATATTGAAGGAATAGGCGTCGATGGAGAAGACTGAAGGAGTAAATGGAGACTAGTGTATATTCAAGGATGATGATGTAAACAGAGACTACAAGTAAGCAACAAGTTTCCATTAGTTTCTACATAAAATAGCTAATCTTGGAGAATATTGAAGGATGGTGATCTAAATAGAGAATAGAAGTGAGCAGCAAGTTTCCATTACTTTGTAAAAATGCAGATTATGAAGAGTTCATATAATAGATAATCTTGGAGAGGATTGATACAAATCATTACTTTCTCTTGGATCATATCTTTTACATTACAAGCTTTGAAACAGCCATCTGAGTACTTGTCTGAGAGCATAATACATTGTGCATCCACACTGGAAAACTTTACTAAAGAAGAGCCGAACAATCTTCTTGAGATTGAATTTGAATTGGACACATAGATGAGGTTTGTTCCATGGTTATTTTGCTGTTTGGTTTGGTCTCGTCAAAATTGCTTTGCCTTGATATGAAATTGTCTGTTCGATCCAAATCTTTGTTATAATAATTACCGTATTGTTTTAAGTCAAATAAAAAAATTATATATATAGTATGAAATTTTTGAATAGTATTATATATCCTGCTTCTATACGTCGTTGAAAGTGAAAATCAAAGTAGAGTTTTTTACTAATCGGTGAGATGGCATAGTGTACTAGCTTCGTTTATTTTTATTTTTTTCCCCTGAATACGGATATCCATAACCAGGTCGGCTCGGGTCTCTCTCTCTCGTACAGATCCAAGCATACATACATACACCGTATAAGTATCTTGCCGGAAGCGCGTCGCGCAATCATCTGTATGTATCTGCCTCTGTTTTCTTCTCACCTAAAATCAGATTGTCTTTAATGCTTAGGTCGATCCTAATTCGTCCGTGAAGTTACAGTTGTTCAACTCAAAGCCAGAGTTTGCTTCATTCATACTTCAAA